CTCAGCTGTCCACTCCTAAATGAACTCAGTATGTTTTGTGAAGGAGCACTGAGAACATCTGACCTTCCTCAGCCCAGCCCAGGGCGGCAGCAGGACATGGGATGATCCAGGACGGGTGAGGGGAACTGGCTCACTCATCATCCGCATGTTAAAGCATAAGTTTCCCCAGGAGAGGCACAGGGAAGGGGGATGACTTTATAAAGCATTATCCAGGCCTTGATTCCAGCTGGGGGGCAGGAAAGGAACATCAAGACCATTACAAACATCGGCTGCTTCCCAGGTGCGTGGGGCAAGGGGCCGAGGGCGGGTGCGAGGCTGGGTTTGGGGGAAGGAGAGCAGCTCAGTACCTGGTTATAGCAACTCAACTGGGTGATGACGGCAGGATCAGCAGATGGAGATGCCCAAGAAACAAGCTGAGAGGTGAAATCAGATGGAGGGGGATATATTAGGAACAGACACGCAGATTTACACATCGTCAGTGAGGAGGTGACAAACAGGTCTTTGGAAGGGGAATCAAACTCTCACGAGGGAGTGGAGTGTGATGAGGAGTGTTGGAGAGGGAAGACTCTCTGGGACTCCGGCTGGCGGGAGGATGTGCTAGAAGAAATGCTGGAGGTGGAAGGAGGACAGGGGGACCACCAGTGACCAGAGAGCCGAGGCTGAGGAGATGGACGGGGTCGGGATCAGACGAGCACTGCGTTCAGCAACGGAGCCAGACGCGAAGGGCAAGTTTCACTACAGTTGCATCTACATTTAGGTTGCCAAAAATACCTTTCACAGATTGGCTGTCTTTAATTAAAAGGATGTCTCCTGTGCTCCTGGCACGATACAGAACTCATCCTGCCATGCGGGGCTCTGTGTGGAAGCTCTGCGGGGCGGCTTTCCCGCGGGACAGCTCTTCTTTTCCTGCATCCTCCCATGTCCTGCCAGTGCAGGGCAGCTGAGGCAGCGGTTGCTCCCCTGAAATGCCCCTCCACAGTGCAGGCACAGAGGAAAGAAGGAAAACTTCACCCCCTTCCTGTTTTGGCTTCTCTCCTTCCCTCCAAACACGGAGAACGCCTTCCTCCTCTCTCCTCCTCCACGTTTCAGTGCAAAGATTTAGCTAATTTCTTCTATGAATAGCACGGGAGTAGCCATAGCAACATCACCCTGCCAACCTCACCACCTCCACTGCCTCCGTGTCCCCGGCACCCTGTTCCTCTCACCCTCCCTCGCACCTCCCCAGGGAACATCTGGGGCTTCAGCCATTTCCCACAAAACAACCTGCATTTGGCTTCCCCCCTGCCCTCTTGGTGCTCTCCCTCCTTCTTTCCAGCCATACCTGCTCGTCACTCAGAAACCCAGTCTGAAGCCCCAGGCTTCTCTTTCCCCTCTGCCACCCATGGCCCAAGAGACAGGAGCCCCAAATCCAGCAGCACCCAAAGGCTCAGGGAGGGCTGCCCTGTGCCCACCTACTGCAGGTAATTTCCCAGGACATGGGAGGAACGTAACAAGCAATGTTTGTGTATCCAAACCCACCAGTGAACATCAGTGAAACTCTCGCTGCCAAAGACAGGCAGGGAGGACCTGTCCCACTCCTCCACCTGCCTGGCCATGGAGCACCTCTGCCAGGGGTGGGGGACACACAAGCCTGGCACGCTCTGGGCATTTGGAGGTGGTCAGGGACTCAGTGTAATGCTGCCCTAACTCCCCTCTGCATCCTCCTGATCCCCCCAAGAGGGAAAAAGGGTCCACAGAGAGAGGGGGCAGCAAGGCTCCACATTTCTGGCCAAGCAGGGCCAGCAAACCTGGGGCAGCCCTGGGGGCAGAGGGTACTTCCCAGCCACATGCCAGGGAACTGCAACTGCCCTTGGCCCCTTCCCCAGGCACCCCAAATGCACACGAATACACTAGTGAGACCCTTGGGATTCTCATGGGGGGGCCTCGCTCTGGTCACTGTGCCCAGCACCAGGGACCTTGGAGTGAACTAAAACACAGAACTGGACATTCCCTGAGGAAGGGAAAAGCGTTGGCTGCTTCTAGACCCTCAGCACATGGAGCAGTGCAGGAGAAGGGGCTTGGGCATGGCCAGGCAGCTGAGCACCCCTCTCCTGAGAGGCCGTGGGCGTTCGCTGTGTGAGAGGAGTGGTTTGAGCAGTCTGCTCCTCTAGTGCTGTGCATCAGGGATGCTTCCCTGGATCATGCTGCCGTTCCTCCCCCAAAAGCCAGGAGTCCTCCTGTCACCCCAGTCTGGCAGGGGAGAAATTGAGTCCCCCACCAGAAAGCAAGGGGGGGACAAGGAGGGCACAGGGCCAGTGAGAGGGATGGTGATGGAAACAATAGAGGACAGCAATGACATCAAGTGCAGGGACCGGGAACTAATGGACAGGGAACATGGATAGATAAGGGAGAAGAAATGGGAGAGATCTCAAAGGGGAGAAGAAAATCAAAGCAAAAAAAGATGAGAAACATAGAGCTCAGAGATTTTCCCCCTTCCTCCAGTGAGGATTAAGGGTTCTCAATTACTGGCACTGCCTGAGCAAGCTAATTTGTGTCCTAGAGAAGGGGAGAGGCAGGAGGAAAGAACAGAAGGGGCATTGGAAGTAGGAGGAGGTGCAGGTTGATGTTGGGACCACACCGTGTGTTGGGCAGCACGTGTGGGCATGTCTCACGTGCCATGGAGCTGACACAGGGTCCGTGAGTGTGCCATGATGTCAGAGAACATGCACCACCATATGCACCTGGGAGCACGCTTCTGATGGTGGAGCACCAGCATGCGCCTCAACTCTGATTGTGTGAAGAAGCAAGGGGAGGAAAAAAGGTGGGGAAGCTCCTCAGGAGGTGAACAGATCCCTGCTCTCCCGGGAAAGCCTCCTGGCCCGCGTACCCCTTCCCACCTCGGCTGCTGGAACTGCTTCCAGGGACAGGGAGCTCATTTAAAGGGGCAGCCCTGAAAAATGGCAGCCCTGCCTCTAGCCGAGGCTCTCCCGGACACAGAGGCTGCCTGTGGAGAGACCGCTTTGCATCCGCAACATCCAGCCAAATGCACCCAGAGCTCAACATCTCCCGGCCTCCCGGAGCCAAACCCGCCTGCCTGGGCACAAACCATGCCTAGACGTTTCCCTGTTACCACCTTTTGTCCCTCTGCCCACCACTGGACTGGGAAGAACATGGATTCCTCGTGGCTCAGGCACTTTGCACCCTTGGATCAGAAGCAGAGCGTTGCCGAGGTTTTTGCTGCAAGGCTTTACTCATTGCATACATTTGCTCCACACCAGGGAGCGACGCTGCCTGCTCTGATACAGGCGGTGCACATACCACACACGTCATATTCTACATGCAGACCCTGCTATGCTCACACAGCCTCAAACACTGGCATCCTCTGTTGCTTGTGATGCCGTGAGGAGCTTTTGATTTTTTTTTTTTTTAATTTTCTTTTTTTTTCCCCCACGTTCAGAGAGGCTAAGGCAGAGCAGAGAATCCCAACGCGGACTTCCCGAGCAGCCCAAGCTCCATGGCAGCACCACAAAGAGACAATGATTCCTCTTCCACCATTGCAAAAACATGAAAGGCTCCCCTGCCCAGGCTGCCACGGCAGCAATGCAGCTGGCATCACTTCCTTCTCACACTGCTTGCAATCGCCTTACCAGGAATCCTGGGCCGGACCTTTCATGCAAGCAGGAGTAGAAAGGAGAGAGCAAACCTGCTTCAAATTCTCTGCTCCTGCCCAGCTCCCCGAGCTTGCTGCTCTGGATGGAGGGAAGGAAAGAGATAGTGAAGGAAAGATGGAAGAATGCTTGCCAGGAATCAGCAGGCGAGAGAGAGCTGAGGCTGATTTTGATGCAAAGAGTGGCAGAGAAAGAGACAGAAAGTAGGATCAGGCTGATGGGAAGGTGGTTGGGATTTTGGGTGCCTTCTGTAAATATCATCTGAGCTATCAGCTTTGAATCTAATTATTTCAACCAGAGCTACAGACGGAGACAGTAATGAAGAAAAAGCAGAGGAAGGGAAGAAGAGGGTTGTGTTTGCCGAGGAGAGAGGAGGAGAGAATTCCCATTGATTCCCGTGTGTCTGCCTGCTACAGCATCTTGAAATAATAATTAGAAGGATCAATAAGAAATCATGTGAGGTTTGAAGATAATGAATGAAAGAGGCAAGAAGAAGCAAACTGAAATGCCTTTCCTTCAAGCAGAGTAAATCGTTTTTCAGGCAGGGTCTAGCCTCCATTTTAATGCTTTGCAAACAGATCCAACCATTTTCTAAGCTGGCTTGTGGGTTCAAAACAAGACTGGTCTCTCCATTTAGGGGAGAAAGAGAGACATAGCCTGAGAATGGGTCCTGGAGAACACTGATAAAATGAATGTGTGTGGGAAGAAATGGAGGCAGTGAAATGGGGCAGAATGCACACAGCACGCCAGCGACCAGAGCAGGGTTACGTAATAATCTCGGGGAGCAGGGACGTAGCAGCAGAGCGAGGAAACCACAACTCAGTGGAGAGTGGGTGACAGTTTGGGAGCGCTGGCAAGCAACGCTGCGAACCCACGAGGCTGCCCAGCGGGCAGCACGCACCATGCCTGCTAAACACAGTATGACGGGATGCCCTTCATGCTGCCAGGGCTCCAGGCAACGGCACCGCGAGCGGCACGGACCTCAGGTGGGGTGTCCAAAACACATACATCATGCCCGACGCCCACCTTTTGCCACGCAAGATCCATCTGGCCCAGCTCGGCCCTGGGGAGGCTGTTCCAGTGCTGAGCTCCCGCGCTGGGCAGGACCGCGGCAGCCAGCCCGAGCACCGGAACACCAACCCGACCGACTCCGACGCCAGCCCGACAACAACGCCGGCATCCAGCCCCGGCAGTGCCAGCATCCAGCCCCGGCAGTGCCAGCATCCTCCCGCGACGCCCCGGCGGTGATGCTGCGCCCTGCCGCGAACCCGCCGCGGACCCCGGGTTACCCCGACAGCCGCCCGCCCCGTCCCGTCCCGCACCGGGGAGCGGCTGCCCGGGGCTGGCCCGTACCTGCTCGTACCAGTCGCGGCTCGAACACGTGCACTCGGGCCACCAGCCCGGGCCGCTCCCGTTCACCTTGGTCGCGCTTTTCCCCGGCGGCGGCGGCGGCGGCTTCAGCGCGGCGGGGTCGCGGGCGGGGGGCCCCAGCTTGGCCTTGCCGCGGGCGGCGGGCGCGGCCCCCCCGGGCGCGGGCAGGGTCTGCGAGCCGTACCCGCCGTAGCCGTATTGCTCGTGCTGCCACTCGCCGTACGAGGGGGGCTCCATGCGCCGCAGGGCCGCCATCCGCGTTACCTCGTAGCACTCGGGGCACTTGCAGCAGTGGTGGTGCTTGTGCATCGCTGCCCTCACACCATAGAGCCGGCTGGGAGGGAGGGAGGGAGGCGGCGCGGAGGGGCGGAGGGAGGGAGGGAGGGAGGGAGGGATGCTCAGGGGGCGGCAGCGGCCCCCGCCCCGCGCAAGGCGCGCCTGCCGCCTCTTCGCCCGCTCGGCGCCCCCGGCCCCGCGGGAGGAGAAGGAGGAGGAGGAGGAGGAGGAGAAGGAGGAGGAAGGGAGGGGGATGGTGTTACAGCGCGGCGATCTCCGCGGGGGCGCGCCGCGGCATCGCCCACAACGCCGCTCAGTCGCGGGGCCGCTCCCGGCGCGGGGCGCGGGGCAGCAGCTCCGACCCGCTGCGCTGCATGGGGCGGCTCAGCCCGGCCCGGCTCGGCTCGGTGCGGGAGCGCGGCACCTGCGGCGGCGCGGAGCATCCCTCGCCCCCCCCTCCCTCGCCCCCGCAGCCGCCAATCCGCGCCGGCGGAACCTCCGCGCCCCGCCCCGGCGGCGGGGGCGCCGCTCCCCGCGCTCGCCCCGCGCACCGGGCAGTCCCCGCGCCGCCCCCGCGCCGCCCGGGAGGGACGGAGATGCTCCGCTGCGCTGCCTCGGGCATCACCTTGCGCCTGCCCCTCAGCCCGTCCCTGCCGCGCCGGGCAGCCCTCGCCGTTCTTCCTCCAGCCTGGCAGCCCCGACAGCTTTGTGGTTGACACCCAAGAGGGGGTTCAGTTTGCCTCAGCTGTGGTGCGCACTGGAGTATGAAATCATTTTTCCAGTCCTGGAAAACCGGTCGCTAGGCTGGCAGCAGCATCTCTTGTTGCATCTCCATGTGAGTTCTAACCCTGCTTTGCTGGGAATGGCTGGCCTTGCCCCTTGAGCCATGGGTGTATCGGGGATGTAGAAACACCGAGGGCCTTTGTTGGACCTTCCACCTGCTGCCATCAGGGGATGGTAAAAGCCGAGCAGAAATGCCTGCTGGTGCAGCAGGGCAAGGATGCTGCTGCCAGTGCAGCTCAGGCAGTCCTTCACCTCTTGCACAGAAGTGCAGAACAGGAAGAAGTTCAGAAGGGAGTCACAGAGAAAAATTGAAGGGGAGAGAAAAAATCCATTACAAAAAGCAACACCTGACCATTTAGAACCTGAATCCAGCCTTCTAATGCTTAACAGTTGTAATAAACACGAGGGTGGGTGAATTCAAAGCAATGGTACATAAATATGTAGAAGAGCAATGAAACGTGCACAGCAGGGCTCCTGTAGGGTATGGGCGAAAGACAGAAGCAGGAGGGGGCCACAAGTTGAGCCACAAGACATGGTAGTGCAACACCCCAGTTCAGGCTGCAAGGTCTGCAAGGCTCCTACTGGTCTCCTGCAGCTGGTGCAGTATGGTCCTAGGCATGAGCAGGGCTGTGGGAGGAGGAAGCACACGATGGATGGCCAGACAAATGCCCCTGCCCACTCTTTATTTCTTTAGCTCCTTAAACTGCAATACAAAATTACTTCTGCACTTCACCTCTGCAGATAGAGGTGCTCCTGCAGTGTTTGCTCCCAAGCAGTCAAGTGCACGCAAAAAAGTCTTTCTACCCGACGGATCTCAGTGCCACAGGACACTGCAGACCCCAGGAGCTCACTGGGACGAGGAAGGATGGGATGCCTGCAAGCTTGTTCAGAGGTAAATCAATGAAAACCCGCGTGTGTGTGCACAGCAGGAAAGCACACAGTGTTGGGACTATCATCAGAGAGCTTTACACTTCAGGTTTTAAGGAATTAGGATCATCTCCACACCTTCTACTGCTCCTTGTGCCATCTCCCAGAGCACATGGTGCTGGCCTTGCAGGAGGATGCTGGGCTGGCAGGCCCTGTGCTCTGGGAGATGCTGCACCTCCTTGACAGCCTCTGTGGACCAGAGGGTAGGGCACGTTACCCACGTGGAGAGGGCATCCTGCAGCAGGGAGGGCACAGGTGGGAATGACAGGAAGGACTGGGGCTGGATTGAAACTCAGATAGGGGATTGCTGCACCAAAGCAGAGCAAAAAGCCTTTCAGAAACAGGCACATGGTCAGTGTCTCCCCATGTGAGAGCAAAAGGACGGGAATTCCATCTTGGCTACCCACCATCTCCCACTCTGAAGCACCTCTGAGGTCTGAGTCACTTCATCAATGAGAGGTACCAGTAGCATAGCCATAACTAATTACTGCTCCATTCCAGCTGCAAACCTCCTTCCCTTCACGGTTCCCATCCTGGGATGGCCTGGTTAGGTTGTAGGGATCATACAGTGGCCACCCAGCGAGGCCCCCTCCACTACCATGAGCCTTCTCCAAAGCCATCTTTGGGCCCAGGTCAGTCAGGAGATCCCTGCCTGGATGAGGCTGACCTGGGTGGGAGGAAAGCACCAGGCAAAGGCACATGCAGAGAGTGTAACCCCAACTGCTCCCACCTGCCCTGCTCCAGACACATCTCCTTTCACTCTGTCCTGTGATGGGGTCAGGCAAGGACATGGCCATTCACTCAGGGGGGAAGTGCAAAAGCAAAGGACAAGAGCAGTTAGGGAAAAATGCTTTAATAAGGAGCTGAGTGAACAATAAAGAGAAGCACTGATTTTTTTACCCCCTCCCAATTTTTTTTGTGTGCATCCTCCACAAGGAAAGTATCTGGTCCCCCTGAGGGGACTGCCATGGGTACCCCCACATGGGAAACACCCTCCCTACCAGCCCTGGGGTGCCAGCATCACTGCCTCCACCCCACTCCACTTGCCACCTTGGAAACTCAGGGACAGCTCCATGATCTAAAACATTCTGCTGCTTTCCCCTGCTCTCCTACCTGTTAGTGCCTCATCACTACCTGCAAACAGAGGGGCCCTGAGCCTCAGCTGTTGCAGCTCTGACAAAGCCCTTCCCTACCTCTTGCACGTCCCCTCCCAAAAACCCACATGTCCCATTTTAGCTGCCATGAGAATTGTTTAATTCCTGTTCCTTTGTAATGAACTGCATGTGCTGCCTGCTAGCCTCAATTTAAAGGAAAAAAAAAAATCCCTGGTTGCTGCCACCTGCTTGCAACATTCCCTAATGCTGCACAGGGTTGGGAACACCTTATCAAGCTCAAGAGGAGGCCAGGGCTAGCTGGCCAGGGGCATCTGCATCCTGTGCTTCTCCAGCTTGATTTAGTGAGTAGTGGCATTTTGGCTACTGGGAGTGGCTCTTCCAGAGACCAAGAGGTGTGGGCACCTACACTGGGGTGCCCAGATCTGAGTCTGGCAGGGCAGGCACAGTGCCCAGCACAGTCAGGCACCTGTGGGCATCTCACTACAGTGATATGGGCATTGAGCAGAGCTAAAGGAGCTGGGAGCTGATTTCCAGGCAGGTGCCTTCATGGAGGGAAGTGATTTGAGGAAACCACCAGCTCTCTCATCCTCTACCCTCTTCCTACCAGAACTCTCCCCGTCTTATTTAAATTCAGCTTTGGCAGATGCTCTTTTTACAGGAGCTAATTTCAGCAAAGTGTCAAGAAATCCCTGGAGATGATGCTATTTACAAGGCCCGATGGCGGCACGGAGCTAGGATTTATCCGGTGTCGCCGGCATTTCAGCCCCTGTTGTCGCTTCCTTCCTCTCGCATGAAGTCCTGCGGGAAGAGGAAGGCAAGTGTGAGGCACCAGGAGCTGGGGGTTTGTTGCACCTACAGCCTTTCTAGGAGCAGAAGATGGGGGCAGGCTGAAGGCAGCCAGCTCCTTGCAGAAATGACAGAGCGCTGACTTTCGCCCAAGAGAGGTTGGGTCCTGCCGGGGGAACCAAAGCCACGCGTGAGCTCTGAGCCTGGGTGCACATAGGGAATCTTTATAATGCTGAGAGGGGAAGTGGAGGACAGTTTTGCACGGGGAAAGGTATGTTTTTCAACCACAAGCACCTGCAGAAAGCTACCCAAGACACACAGCAGAGGGAGGCACCAGGATCTGCAGCCACCCAGCTGAGAACAGGGGACAGGGAGCAGGGGCAGGGAAAGGTATCTGGGAGGGCAGGCAACGGGGAGGAGAGCAGCAAAGAAAGGAACCAGCTGAACTTGGCTCAGTCTGTCAGTCAGTTCCTCAGCACTACCACAGACCTCATCCTGCAGGGATTTGCAATTTGCTGTGTCTGGGGCTTGTCAAATGGAACCTGGAAGAGGCATCCTCTGTAGAGGCTGCACAGCTCCTGAGAGAACAGGGCTGGAGGTTCCAGTGAGCACTGGAGGCTTTGCACAGTCACAGGTGAGTGGGAAGGGGCAGGTTAACAAACATCTCACTCTGTGACTGTTCCTTCCTGCCACCAGCAGCGATTCACGCTGAGAAATGTGCAGCTGGGATAATAATAACCTGGCACACCAAGGGACCAATAGCTCTCAGCACTTTCAGGGCACATGCCCAACAAATTATTCTCCTCCAGGGCAAACCCATTTTCATTCTATTAATGATCCCTGATACTTTGCCCAGTTCCTGTATCCTCCACTCGTGGCAGGATGGCACGAGGGTCTTCAATAAACACCATCGGCCAGTTTTACATCGTGGCCAACTAAATGTCTTCCAGGGCTGTGCTGGTGGGGTAGAGGGGTGATGGAGACCTGAAGCAGGTCCCTTCAGCAGAGCCCAGGCTCCCTCCCTGCAAAGGAGAGCCTCTATTTAATAGCAATCAGCTGCAGCAGAATTCCTGACAACCTCCCAATGCCCGCAGTTGCTCTCCCCATCACATGGCAGAGACGATCCTGCCTTGAGCTGGAAGCATGGGCTGTCTGCGGGCACCTCCCTCCGTGCAAGGGGGCAACCTTGCTGCTGCTTGGGCACAGCAATTACAGCACTGGCATGTGCTGTGGTCTGCAGGTGCCCACTCCTTGTGTGTGCCTCATTTCCTTTAGACTGAAGCACAGCTCCAGCCTGATGGAGCACAGGAAAGGTCTGACAATGTGACCATGGCACAGCTTCACCACTCCAAGCCAGAGTCAGAGCATTCAAATCTCGCGTCTTTAAGAGAACCAGTTGCTGTTTTTTTTGTCCCGTACCTTGATCTCCAGCTGGTTGTGCCTAGTGTGACCTCACCAGACATCCTGTTTCCCACCATCTTTCGCTAGTCCCAAGCTGTCCCTGTCTGTGCTTACACACACTTAGACCTAGTGGGAGCCAGACACACCCTACTTGGGCTGTACAAGGCTGTCACAGATCTCCTGGCTGGCCCTGCACAAGCCGATGTGACCTCGGGACCACAAAGCCCCACAAGTTGACCCTCCAGGGCTCCTCACCAGGAGCCATCCCTGAAGGAACCAGTACCATCCTCAGAGTGGGTCAACATGTGGCTCTGAAAGGCAAGGGCTCAGCACCACCCTGCCCGGATCTGGGGATGCCCTGGGCAACACGGACCTGCCCAGGGGGGCCTTTCCCCATATCCAGGGCCCAGGAAGGGTTATTCCTTCCTCGATTATTCCCACTTGCAAGAGAAGGGGAGTGTTTTTGCTTGGCCAGTCCTGCTCCAATCTGCCCCTTCCGGACGGGGCAAAGCCCACCCCGCAGCTCCCACCACCCACAGCCATGGGGATACCGGTGCCTCACCCGCGCAGTGATACCCCACGGAAACCCACCCAGCCCCGGGGACAACAACGAACGCTGGTGTTCCTGGGAGCCGCGGTGAAGGGGAGGGGGGGGTGTCTGATCTGGCCCGGCCCTGCCCCTTTAAGGGAGAAAGCGCTGCTCGGAAATTTGTGAATGGCTGGCCCCGCCCCCGCCCCGCTCGGCCAATCAGCGCGCTCGCCGCGAGGCCGCAGCCGGAGCACGGGGCTCTCTTAAAGGCGCCGCGTCCCCACCCGCCCGGCCCCGCCACGACACAGGACGGCACCGCTTCGGAACCCCGAGGTGACCTTCAAAGCGGCTCGCAGGCGCCGGGTGAGGAGGAGTTCCTGACCCACAGGCACACCCATGCTTTTCCTCAAGACTGACACACTAGCAACACAAGCCCCGGAGGATGGATGATGACTGACGAGGGGCCATTTCCCTCACACTGGCTTCAGGGCTTGGCTTGGACATGGGATGGTCAGGTCCCAGGGACTGGACATCCAGAGCACACAGCTGATCTGAGCTTCCCCCATGTGCTGCCAAGCCATGGTGCAGGGAGAGCTGGGAGAGTGGTTTCAGCACCCTGCTCTTGTTTTGGAACACATCAGGAATGTGGGAGTGCTCCCACAGCCCCAGAACCCCAAAGCTTACAAAACCTCCCTGCAAAAACACCCCGTGAGATTCAGCTGTGCAAAATCTACCACTGCACAGAGGGGAAATAGCTGTGTGGCACCTGCCAAGGGAGAGGGAACGAACAGTGCAGCAACGGGGCTGGAACACGCACGTGAAGCAGCAGGCAGAGCTTGCCCCTGGCTTCAGCAATAAATCCAGCTCCAGGTCCAGCCTGGTCTCCCCTTGCACTGCAGTGCAGTGCCCCCTCCTTGCTCTGCCTCAGCTCCTCCCGCAGTCTGCTGTAGCCCAAGCTGTGAAATGATCGGATCTAAAAATACCCTTTGAGAGGAGGGGAACAGCCTGGCAGGACATTGCCATGTTTCCTGGACACGTGCAGGTGGAAAGCTGGTTGTGAGGCTGGGCAAGCAATGTCAGCCAGGCAGGATGGTCTCTGTGCCAGGGCTTTGGGCACAGGCCCTGGTGTACCTGAGCAGTGCCAGCCCCAAGTGCTATCCAGGCCACAGACTGCAGGAGGCCTTTGCCTGAGGCTGAATACTTGGAATAATTTTTAGGTGCAATGCCAGCCAGACTCCTGCAAGGTGCTTTGTAGCTGCAGGCTGCAGGGCTCAGGCAGGTGCTGCCCTGGGGCAAACCTTCCTTTCCTGCAACAGGACATGAGATTGGCTCCAAATGCTGGCACTGATGCAGCCACGAACAGCCTAAACCCCCAGAGCAGGCAGGGCAAAGCCAGAGGAGCCAGCACACGGCAGAGAGCACCTTTCCAAGGACTCACCCTTGGACTCACAAGAGGGATGATTTCCAAACCCACGCTCAGTTCCTATCCCCCTCCTGCACTTCCCCCAGCTCCTACCAATGCCGAGGATAATGCATCTCTCAGCGTAGCTTGATACTGATCCTCCAAATCCTAAAGACTATAAACCTTCATGAGCAGTTATCGTGGCTGCTCTATTTATAACAGTGCTAGTGCTGCCTCTGCCACCAGAATCCTGATCTCTGTCCAGCCTCATGCCATTAAGATGCAGTGACATTCCCCCAGTTCCAGCACTCCAGATAGGAAGCAGCTGGCCTGCCAGGCTCTGCCTTCAAGCTTGGTTTGTTTCTTTAAAAATGGTGAGGAGAGCCTGTTTGTTTTCCAGAAATGCACCTAGGAGGTGCTGGGGTGGCTATGAGGGGGGTGGAGTGTGGATGGGTGCAGGACAGGGTGGCACATCCCAGGCTGTGGGTATGGAGGCACTGCACGTGAGAGCCCCTGGTGGGTTTGTGCTACAGGATTTGGGCTCCAGGGCTTCACTTTGGTTGCTGCAGGAACGTGGTCAGTCACCTGACAAGGCAAAGCAGGAAAGGAGGAACCTGGGAGGTGCTGTGCAGACCCTGCATCGGCTCCTCTTGGACTCTTGGTAAACAAGGCAGACAGAGACCCAGCAGGGACAGTGCAGCAGCTCATGGAGCTCCTGGCCAAGGCACCCATCAGTCCCCATCCTGCTGGAGAAGCCTGTGAATGGTCTTGGTTCTTGTTTTCAGAGGTATGCACAAAACCCATCAGTGTGAATCTCAGCGTGGAAGTTGCTCCTGAGCTGTGCTCCCGTGGGCATGGGCAGGCACAGACAGTAGATGAAGGCAAACAGAGCTGAAGCAATAATGTGGAGGGAGGATGGATGGACTCCAGGTTGTCTGGATGACTCTGGAGCATGGCTCTCTGTGGCTTCCCAGAGTCTCTTCCTCACTGATCCCTTTCTACCACTGCATGGGGAGTGCTGCATGCACTCACACCATCAAAATAACTTCAGAACAGGGACAATGACTTGGATGAACGGAGAGACCAACAGTCCCACGTCCAGCAAGGCTTTCCTGTGCAACCAGAAACACCTTTGTGTCTGCCAAGGATCTTCCTTTTGCTGCTGGTTTTAGACAAAAAGTCCCCAAGCAGAGTAGTAATAGGTGGCCATGCATGAGATTTTGGTTTGACAGACTGGTGGCTCTACTGACTTCTTCATACTTTGCTGAAGCTGTACACTGAAGTGGGAGAACTGAAGTCTAAGCATGTTCATCTCTGCAGCAGGAATAGCAAGAGCCTCTAGTAAAGCTGAGGCCGTTCAACCCCAAAATGTCCACCAAAGTGACAGCTCTTACTGACACAGCCCTTGCTGACCCCCCCCACTTTGAGCAGCAGCATCAGTGGGACACAGGCAGCCAGCTGCCCAGCTGGGTGCCCATGTGTGCAGGGCTGATGTGTGTTCAGCCTGTGTGTGTTACTGCAGGCAGACCCTCTCTTGGCTTCAGCACTCTGGGGCCTGTGTCTACAGTGCTGAAACACAAAACTGCTGGAGAGCATCTGAATGCCCTGGGGCGACCTACAGGCACAAAGTGGCTCAAGTGACTCTGGGGCAGCAGCTGCCGGGGCCTCTGGGCTGTGAGTTGCTTTTCTTCTCTGCTTCTCCTAAAATAAACATGCTCTCAAACTTGCATGGGGATGCAATGGGGAGGGGACAGTTTCCCAGGGAGCTGGTTGCTTCTGTGCTCCCATTGCCACCTCCCAGGATTTTGGGCCTGCAGGGCTGATGCTGTCGGGCTCAGGTTGAGACAAAGCAGTGGTCAGTCTGGCCTGCAGCAGTGGCTTCAGCTCACAGAGAGGACACGGGGTGGTGAGGACAGCAGGGTACGTGCAACCAAGCAACCTGATGGGGGGCTGCATTCAGTGTTAGACATTCACCACAACAGGGATCTGCTTAATTTCCCTGATGCTTCACGCAGAAGCAAACGGCTCCCTGGTGCTCCCCCTCTCACACATCTCGCAGAGAAAATGGAGAGTGGTGGGGCTGCAGCCAAGCCAGGGGAGCGGGGAGCTCACAGCTCAGGCATCTCTGCGGCTGCAGCATCTGCCGCACACCGAGCTCATCCTGACCCGCTGCTCCTGCCAGGCAAAGGTGCAGAGCATGGGAACGCCCTTCTCTTCGGCCAAAGGCATATCGGGAAGGAGGAAAAAGGCACTTGGGAGAAGGCGGGCGGAAGCAGACAGCCGGTCGCCACGCCGGCAGCACAGCTTGCCTTTCTCTGCCTGATTCCCCGGGGAGCTCCATGGACCTGCTCGGCTCCTGAGCTGTGGGTTATAGGGCAGACTGATGCCTCTTCTTCAGCAGCACGTGCAGCAGGGAGGGCTCCTAACACTCTGCCCAGGGCATTTCTTCCAGGGCTGTGTATTCCCTGGGACACAGGGAGTGGAGTGGGAAATTTTTGGCCTTGGCCCAGCAGGGCTAAAGCACAGACTGCACCTCTCACGCTGCGAGTTCGCTCACAGCATCCCCACACACCCACAGCCTGTGGGAGCAGCAGCGGCCCCTGCCAGCAAGGTTTCCTGTCCACCAGTGATTTCAGAGCACACACACAATGTCTGTCCTCTGAGGCAGTCTCACTCGTACTCTCCATCACGTTGACCTGCTGTTGCTCAGTGTCATCTGTAGGGCTGAGCAAGGACAGAGCTCTGGCGCTGGTGTCGGGCAGCAAAGCGGCAAACCCTTCGGCAGGTGGGAGGGGATGCACGGGCAGGCGAAGGCGGGAGGGGCGGCACTGCCCTGGCGCGATGACAGGGATGAAGTCAGAGTGGTTGCAGAGCCGTGCTGGGAAGCAGGAGAGGGTGGCAGGGAAGGAGAGCGGCGCTTCCTCGCAGGCGCACAGCTCTACTCATCAGCGGCATTGTTCCCTTTCATTTATCTTTCCAGCTGGCTGCTCTCTGCACAGAGAGCTGGCTGCTCTCTGCTGGCTGCTCTGCTCTCTCCGAGAGCTGCAGCCTTGCCAGCCTGTGAGCATCGAGAGGCATCGTCCCCAGGAGCGTCCTCCTGAGCCTTCCTGCTGCAGACACACACAAGCCCCGAGCAGCCCTGCTAAGGCAACCACAGGGCTCGGGAAAAGGTTGAAATGAAGGATTCAGCAAATAAAACTCGATAAGCCCAAGAGCTCAGGCAGGACTGTGGCTCTGTGTGCCCCAGCGGGGCATTTTAGCTGGCCAAGTCCCCTTGCTCCTGTCCTGTTGAGGGCTAAACATCCACTTTCCCTTGGAGGGATGCTTTCAGCCCACTATGCCTTGACAGGAAGCACATGTTGTTGCTGTATTTACCGGCACCACTTCCTTCAGAGCAGCCATTTGCACGCTGCAGGGCTACTCAGAGCACACCCATATCCTCGCCAGCAGGCAGAAATTTCCTGTTCCTGGAAGCATTTGTGCGGAGAGGCAATTTATTTGTCATGTATCTTCCTGGCTAAAGCAGGTTAAGGTGGCTCTTGCTCTGCTAACACTGCTGGGGAGACCTGAGGGCAGGGGAGAGGAAAAAGCCAGGACACCATAAAACTTATTTACATCAACGGATGCAATAAGAGCATTGCACTTACTTCAGGCAGGACAAGCCACTTCATCATCTTGCCTTCTATCAGTGGCAGAGTGTCCCCTAGAACTCTTGTTCCTGGGCTGATAGCACCAGGGCAGCAGCTGCCCTGCCCTGCAGCTGGTGCTCCCCTGCCCTAGCATTAAGTATTGCCTATTATCAAAGCTTCTCTGGTTCTTCCAAGTGCCATTTGCCTTATCTCAGGTGTTTTTCTGAAACCCACTTCAGAAATGCCAGTGGCAAAAAGCAAGCACTGAAGGCTGGAAAGCAACAAGTCCCCCTGGAGCTGGACAGGAGCTGGGTGTGTAGGTGTTATCCAGCCCTGACGCTGTCCTGCATGCTGGGGCTGTTGAGAACTGACACAGGAGGTGATGCTGGCAGCAGCTGAGGTGTCCACAGTGCCTCCATGCAGGAGTGAGGGATGAGAAACAGGGCCTGTGCTGTGGTGGATCAGCACAGCCTGACCCCAGGCATGGCCGCTCCCTTGGCATGGTCCAACCTGCTGACATGGGGGACTGCTGGAAATGCTCCCCCTTCACCAGGGCAAGGCCTGTGTTCAGCAATGAAGATGACATCTTGAGGAAAGACTCACTACTATGTTAAAGGACCGCATATTCCAGCCCACGGGTTGCTGCAGAGGAGCAGTGCTCATGCCTGCAGCTCTCCAGCACTGCTTAGGTCCAGTTTTCAGGAAAGCTTCTGAGTCTCCACAGAAAACGAGTTTCAGGCAGGGCTACAGGCATGGCTAAGCCTGGCACTGAACACTACCATCCTGACAGCTTTTCACCTCCAGGTCCCTGCTCTGCCTGCAGCCACGCTGTGAAAGTGACCATCCTCTAGGATGAAAAAGGCTGCAGATGAGAGCCCTGCCAGAGCACAGTCCTCCCAGAGCCCCATGGAGCCCACCCAGGTCCCCTCTGCTTCCTCCCTCTCAGGGCAGTAACCCCCTGCTCGGGACTGGCAGCTGCAGCCCCTGCAAACGGGTGACCCCGAAAGCGCCAGCGCCTGGCACTGAGGACTGGCCCCACACTGACACGGGCTGGGAAAGAAGGAGGCTGAAAATAAAATAAAAAAAAAAAACCCCACAACTTCAGAAAAGAATGACAGGAATTATTTCAGGTCTGGAACAACCTGCCTCACAGTCAGCGAGTGAAGAAGCCAATCTGTTTAGTTTATCTAAGGGAAAGTTAAGAGGGAACTTAGACGCATCTATAAATACCTACATGTTGGGAACATTTCTGATTGCCAAGGTCCTTTATCCTAGCAAACAAAGGCAGCAAAATTTCCTGGTGCTGGGAGCTAAGGCAAGAGAAATCCAGGCTAACAGTACAGATTTTTAATGTGAAGGATAAATAACCATCAGGCCAGTCAGGCCAGGGTCAGAGCAGATACCCCATCACACAAAGCCTTAAAATTAAACCTAGAGGTGTCTGCTGCTAAAGCAGATATTGCAACTCAGCCAAACATTTGGGGCTAGATGCAAGAGCACTCCACAGCCTGGGACAATTAGGAAGAAAATCCCTTAAAATCTGACTGCTTCCAAGGGCTCAGGCTCTCACCCCTCATGGGTCTTGCCCTGTGACTCCCCTGTGGTGGTGGTTCCCACCCACTGGCAAATGGAAACCAGCAGCCAAGCTCATCCGCCCGTCATGCTCAGAAAACCACAGTCCCACCCTTCCAAAACCGGTAAAGATGTGGTGAATGTTGGAAAATGTAGAGAGAAGCAAGAGGAAAAGGAGAAATTAAACAGTAAGGGGAAAAAAAAATGGGGTGTTACCCATTTTATTGCAGTCCAGAATAAGAAGGAAAAACATTTAAAAAAAAGGACAGAAAAGAGGCAGTGCAATTTTTGTATTTAAAATACTTTGGAAGAAGGCTTAGCCTTAGCAAACAAACATTATTTCAAACTATGCCAAGGAAAACAACATTTTCATATAATTTTAAATCTGTGGTGAGCTCCATTCATCCCGGCCACTTCATCCCTCCCAGAAGCGCATTTTGCCCTTCACTCATCCCTAAAACTCCCCTCAAATGCGCAGCCCAAACGATGCACTCGCACCGGGGAGGGAGCTGAGATTTACGATGCACATCCAAACAAATGGTGTTTCCAAGTAAACAAGACAGCAGAGAAAAGCTCCCGGTAAGCTGAGGAACGGACCTGCCATTTAAGAGCTCAGAGGAAAAAAAAAAAAAAAAAAGACGGAAATCTGCAACGTGGGAGCGTGCCAGCGCCGGGTGGGGGGAGAGGGACAGGCCTGGGAGGATTTCCAGCTCCACGCAGCCTCTTTATTCCTGCGCCACATCCACCTGCCCTCCGAGCCCTGAGGGCTGACACTGGGCCGTGGTAAATAACAATGCAAGGGGGTGATGTCGGGGGGTCGTGCAGCCCCTGGCGCAGGTGACTGCTCAATTATTTTAGTGTGAGCATCACCAGAACAGCCGCGAGGAAACTCTGCTGGCCTCCCCGGCACCATCCCCGCAGTGCTCCGAGCGTGTGGCCCCGGGGCTGTCCCTCAGTGCCAGCCGCTGGCAGGGTGGGATGTGGCGTGGGGCCCACGGAGGCTCACCTGGGGCAGGGTGCTGTGAGAGCTGAGCACCAGGCTGCAGACACTGGCCGGTGCCTCTGTCCTCCGCGCCGTCACCCTCACCAGCCGTGGCGGCGTCCCTGGCGCGCTGTCCCCGGTCCCCGTGGGAAGCCTCCGCTCACAGTCCCAGGAGGAACCCTGAAACGACACGGGGGGTACCTGTGGGTAGGGCAGGCCAGCTGCCTTCAGGCCCCCCACTGCTTCTGGAAGGGACAAAAGGAGCTTCCCCCCCACGCAAGGGACTCGTAGTGAGCATCCCACCACTGGCCTGGCCCCAGGGGCAGCGGGGTCACTGCAGGCTTTCTCTCTGGCTGTCCCACTTCGTGTTTCAGCAACACAAGACGCCTCAAAACACATTTTTTGGAGAAAGGAGGAGGGATTTGATGGTGTCGGCGGCTTGGGCTGTGTTCAGTGCAAGGAAGCCCCAAGACTGGCTGCTTTGCTCGTCCCCACTGCGGACAGGGGCACCCCTCCCACTGGCTGTGCCAGGCCCACAGCTGCTTCCCTGCTTGTTTCCACATCACTGATTTTTAAAATTCTTTATTGACTGTCACATCTCCTTGGGGACTCATAGACTGGCCTGGCTGCAGGCACTGGTGGCTGTTGCTGTTGATGGATTGAGCCTATAGAAGACCCAAAAAACCAAAGCAGGATCTCACTGCCTATGGCATAACATCACTAAAAATTCATCCATAAACACATACTAGATTTGCCTTAATTAGAGGGACTGGCAGTGTGAAGAGGGTCAAGAAAAAACGTAACTAAAATGGTTCCTGAGTCAGAGGGACACAGACATCTCCTGCACTAATTGTGGGCAGTTTTGTCCCCCCTATTCTTGATCCCCAAACTCCTTTAAACTGTTCTTCCTTAGATAATATCATTCAGTTCCTTGTGTGACACTCAAATCTGGTGTCCCCCCAGGTATATGATGGAAAGCCAGTTCAGTCTGTGAGGCAGAAAATGGTGTTTATCTGACAGGATTATTTCCCTGAATTTTTGCATTTCTGCAGAAACATTCCTGTATTCCCAGATCAGGGGGATCTCACAGCATCCTTTTGCAGGGCACGAGGCAGTGAGAGGGGGATGGGAAGACAGCCTGCAAGGACATGAGGCAATTTTATTTACCTTGGTGTCTTAGAGATAAGTGAGACCCTACTGCTCAATTCCTGCCTCCCCACCTGGTGCTCTATCTTTCAAAAGCCTCTAACCAGAACAGCCTTTAAAAGGCTGTTGAAAATTAAAGGGAATGCAAATAAGAGAGACACAAGTTATCTGAGGGCTGGGAAAAAAATCCTGAAAAGGGAATCTTAGAGGACTCAACCTACTTCACTTATCAAAAGCAGCCTGCGAGGTGGCTGGATCAGAGAGCTGAAATGCCTCCATGGGAGACAGCGTCAGACGGAAGCAACTAATCCAGCTGCAACAGCAGAGCAGAACCAGAGCTGGAACTGGAGCTGTTCACGTTGGGAGTAATTCAATTAACACTTGTGAACCCAGAGAAGTTGCCTCATTAATGAGACAAGCTGTGACAGAGAAGGTGTGGAAGCAGCCTGGGTGGGAGCTGGGCAGGCTGTGGTGGCCAGCAGCCTCCTGTGCTCCTGGCCTCCCTCTCAGTGCAGGAGTGTGCAGAGTCTGACCCCGCAGCATCATGAGTGTGGCTCTTACCTCAGGCAGGTTTTGAGGCTCTCCGGGGGTCACCGCAGAGCTGGGCTCGCTGGCCCCGTGCTGCTGCCTGGGATGTGCATCCAGGCTCGGGGACTGCAGGGGTGCAGAGCGCAGTGTGAAATCATAGAATTCGTGGATATCTGCAAAACAGCACGAGAAACATCCCCAGGACCTGGGAGGCAGCCTGAGGCCAGCTTCTGTGTGCGGTGCAGCACCCGTGCCCTCCCACTCTGCCTCCAGAGCATCCCCCGGCAGCCCCCAGTTCATCTCCAAGGCCAGCACCTCCAAGAGAACAACAAAAGTCAATATATCCATCGCAGAAGTGTTTAATTTCAGAAAGGGAACTATATCAAAAGCGAGAAAATTTTATATGAAGAAACTGAAAGGGGTAACAAAAATTTGCGGGAGGCTCTGAGCCTATTTAGAGAGACCCACTGGGACATCAGAGCAGACATGCAGTGCCTGGCTGAAGGATACTTAAAGGTAAAAGAGAGGAAAGCAAGGCTCGACCTCAGGGGAAGGGAGGCTACTGAACGTGAGAAGACATTCATCTAAACAGCTGAAGTTGCATCTAAACGAGAAAACCAGAAAGGATGGTAAATGCTGCCAGGTTAGAGGTAAAGCTCCAAAAGGTCAGCAAGAAGAGTTTGGTGAACGCCTTGCAAAAGCCATAAAAAAGTAATAAATCCCTTCAAGCACCTGGGAAACAGGAAGCCTGGCAGAGTCAGCAGGGCCAAAAAGTCACGGCAGCATAAATAAGCACTTGGAGCAGGAAAAGCCGCAGCAGGAACCTGAGTTCATTTTCTGTACCTGCGTCTGAAGCCGGAGAGCTCCTCTTCTGCCAGTGACCCGAAGGGCAAGCAGTGGGGCCCAGCCTGGGGGGGACGTGGCCATTCTCATGGCACTCCCTGGGAGCCCACGGATGAAGCAGCTGCACCAGCCCTTCAGTCTGTGATTTCTCACCTGCAGCTATGCCACACCAGGGCACCACGGGGGATTAAATGCCCACATTACACAGATTTCCAAAGGAAATCGGGCGAGCATTTGGCAGTGTGAGCAGGGACATGCTGACCACTGCCTGAGGCTACTTCCCAGGTGTAGCAGGATGCTCTGCCTAAGCGTGGATACGGCAGCTCAAAATCTGTCTTACAGTTTATCAGTGAAGGCCTGAGTGATGAGGGTCTGCTGACCAATGACAAGGGTCTGCTGTTCTTAGTGCTGGAAATGCTCAGACCAGCTTGATCAAACTCTCAAACCCCACCACAAGGACATGCAAGACAATGCTTCTTGAGTGAAGCTGGGAGCAGCAAAAATGTGCAGGCTCTGATATGGAAGTGAGAGTCAGGAGTGGTGAGAAGAAGCAACTAAAGAGCTGCTCACACCTTTTTCAGCACAAAGGATATCTTGCTGATTAGAACTCATAACACACAATCTGAAAAATGCAAATGACTGACAGTCAATCACTTTATACGATAAAAGGCCAATCCTACTTTTGCACAGTGAGGACTTCTACCATACCTAAGGTCTGTGAAGATCCTTCCCTTGAGTGGGGACACCCCTCAAGGTTACTCCTCCAGGCTAAGTGAAAAAGATTTGCCCAAGGTCATTGTTATGGGTGAGTAACATCAATCCTTACTTAATATTTTTTTACTTATATTCAAAAGCAGGGCACTACACTAGTAGTTATAGCTATCCATACTATGTAGTAAATAATTCTGATTAAGCCCTTCTGCTTCTCATGACTCAAAAGGAGGGCTTCTCTAATAAACTTTGTCTGAAGCTCCCACTCTGCCCACGACACCAGGGATGCTTCCACAAAGCAGGACTGCACTCCCAGATGCAAGAAGTGACCATCCTCTCTCCCTGTGCTTAACCACAGGCCCAATCACCACAGCAGCACATCCATGTTGCAGATGGGATGAGAGCAGCATCGACCCCCATCTTCCAGCTCCCTGAGGCTGCCTGGTCTGGTGACCTCCCAGCTGCAGGGAAAAAGCTGCTATAAATCTTGGCTGCTGGCAGACCAGCTGGGTGCCCACGGGGAGCCCAGCCAGCCTCTGCTGTCCTGTGCCCTGGGAGACATGGGGCAGCTGGCAATGATGGAAGCAGTGGGAGTCCCCAGATCTACCCACTGCACCTGGGGTACCCCTCCACAACCCCCCAGCTGCAGAACACGCTGCTGGCAGCCCCCAAAGCCTTCCCGAATCAGACAAGAGGTCACAGCAAGCAGTCATTGCACAGCCAGACAAACTGGACTTTGTTTTCGTGCTAAAACATCTCTCCCTCTGGTTATAAAAATAATAATTGCATAACAGGATAGCAGCGGCTCCTGGCTGCATGGGACTGCGTTTGGAGCGCACGAAACTCTGCAAGAATGAAAACAGGATTTGAAGAGCCCCACTGTGGGGGTGCAGTGCTGCTGGCATCCCCGTTTGTCACCCATCTGCTGCAGGAACACAGCCTGGGGCAGCCAAGCTGGCAAGGTGCCTGCAGAGCAGAAAACTTGTCCCCTGAAGCAGCTGCTCTCTCCACCTCCAAAACCCTCAGCCCAGTTTAGGTGCCTTGCCAGAGGAGGGAATTGTTGCTGGCACCAGGGATTAGAGGAGTTTCAGGATTGGTGGACAGGGTTCAGGCAGCGCAGGACGTGGCCACGACAGAAGCGCATTTTAGAACACATGCATGTGGCATTAAAGATAATTTAAATATATGCCAGTTTCACTCATTTCTTATGAGCATCACAAGTTGCACATAAATCTGCCTCACCTTTGCTCTTTACGAGCAGCACTACCTGAAAAGCCTCCATAAGAGGAGGATGTGGCAGCAAAAGATGATGCTGCATGTTGTGTCTTACAGCCCAGTTTCTGTGTGATGACAGTGTAAATCCGTTCTGGATCTAACAAGGAAAAGTAGCTCAAGATTTACAGAGATTCAAATTTTTCTAACAATTTCCTCCTGGGGTTAATTCATCAAATAAACGTCATTAAATATTTCCATAGCACCAGCATCTGAGGGCTAACGCAGCATCCTTGTGCCAGCACCATGCACTTCCAGAAAATGACATTTCTTCCCCATTATGTGCTCTGGCACCAGCTGCATCACCACAGACTTGAAACCCAAGCCTCATGCTCAACACCAGACCCTCCCCACTGCTCTAGGGAGGACTCACACCCATGGCTGCCACAGCAGATCTTCCGAGAAAGTTACTTGCCCTTGCTATGGGCAAATTTGCAATAGGAGGAGTCCTCAGGGATGAGAATCCTCCAGGTTCCTCCAGTTTTCCACCCTGGCTCCTGCAGCCACCCAGGGAAGCCACAACCACCATCCCCAGGAGCGCTGCTGGCAAGCTGAACTCCCAGCTGGAGTTTTGCACCCAGGGAAGCACTGCCTGTCCCTCCTGCCTTCTCCACAGCTCTGGGAGGAATCTTTTCTGGGGTAAAAGGAGCTGCAGGGGAGGGTTAGGGGTCCAAGCAGACAGAACCACACTGAGGTCTGCACCAGCCACTGCTCAGGCACAGGAGATGAGCTGAATCCCAGAGGGCTTTTGGGAGGAGCCCCTTGGGCTGCTGGCAGCTGGGGTGGCCAGACAGAGACAAACCCTGCCTGTCCACCCAGCTTCTCCCGCTGCAAAGGGCACAACGGCCCCTTTCAGCCCCGGCTCTGGGAAGGAAAGGTCAGGGAGCTGCTCTTGTGTGCGAGCCCCATCCTCCTCTCCAGGAGAGAAGACCAAACATCTCCCCGAGGGGCTCCCAGCAGCAAAGGGAAAGCAGGGCCACCGTCAGCCCAGCCCAGGCTCCTCGATCATCCTTTTGCTGGGCTGTTTCCCTGCGAGTCACGCACTTGGCTCCACAGCCTCAGACACGGGGAGAGAGGGGCCAGGAGAAGGGAGCCAGCACAGCCTGTTTTCCCTCTGAGCAGCCAAGGAATTTCTTTTGTGCGGAGCAGGGTTTGGCACATTCCAGCGAGGAGCAGCTCCCGCATCGCTGTGCAGAGCCAGCCCAGCTGGGACAGGAGCAGTCCTGGCAGAGCCAGTATGCCCCAGGCATGGGCAGCTCCAGGGTCAGGGAGGTGGTCACAAGGATTTAAGGGGCTGTCCTGTGCTCTGGCAGAACACGGTGCATGTGCAGAGGCAACACTGGGCGCGATCACAGCGACAGATACATCCAGCACTCCACAGATGCATCCTGGACACAACACAAGCTTTATCTGAACATCCCCACAGATCCTCCCCTGGAGACAGACAAACTGGGATTTCTGGAGTCCCCAAAACAAATTATTCTTGAAAAAAGATTATATGGGAAGTCACACCTCTGGCATTTTTCATATGGACCAACTTGGCAAATTCCATGATGTTTTTCACTTCTGTGGCCTAATGCATTTTGATGCTCAAACTCCAGGCAGCCAATGCATGCCTTAGGAAAACACTACCTGCAGGAGCAGATGACCTGAGGACAGGGATAGATCATGCTCACACATTCATCATCCCCAGGGGTTGAAAAAAAGCAGGGCCATATTGCTGAAAGGCTGCAAGACAAGGCTAAGGCCCTTCCAGAGCCAGAAGCATCTGGCATGGTGTGGGGCAGTGAGATGGGAGCCTCTGCACTGAGAATTGTATCTGTGGTTCTTCTGCAAATCCTCCTCCCTCAGATAAACACTGAACCAGCGCTGTGACTCAGAGAAACTTCACTCAGAGACACAGCAGCCCACTGGGAAAAGGAGGGGTGAAAAGCAAATGAAATAGAAATGCCCTATCACCCTTCCAGAGCTGTCGCTGGGATCCAGCGGGGCTGGACCGTGGACACGAGGCAATCCAGTGTGTGCCAGCTGTGTGTGGTCACAGCAAGCACACAGCCAGCCAGACACAATGTTCACACTGGGACAGAGGAATTCACAAACCTACTCCAAGGGAAGGGGGGGGGGGGGCGGAAGTAATTAATGCAAATTCCGAGTTTAGGTAAACACATCTAGAGAAAGCTCTGCTCTGGCACGGGGAATTAATATCCTGTTAAACCAGTTGAAAAGGTCACCAGCAATCAAGCGACACTGCCGACACTCCCTCGTGCCAGCGCTGACAGGGCACCAAGACAGAGGGTTGAGAGCAGGGAGCTGGGAGCTCTGTGCAGCATCGCCTGCCAGCGTGCAGCTGCAGCCGGCTGGGCGCGCGTGCAGACGTGTTCTCTGCAGCCACGCTCCCCCCACAGCACTTCTGCACTAATATCAACAGCCCTGGGCCTTGGGAAAGCTGCTTCGCTGCCTTTACACAGCCCCAGGGAGGACTGGCAGAGCACACAAAGGCAGCCAGGGGTGTTGGGTTCACCTCAGGTTTGCCGAGGCGATCGCAGCCCCGCCTGGGTTTGCTGCCTCCAGGGTGGGGTGAATTTAGACCATTTAGAGAACGGGTTGTATAAATTAAGAGACAAGAAAGGAGATTCACACTGGTCCCTTCAGAGTGGGGGCCCACCTGCCTCGGGGAGGCCTCCCTAGCCACGTGTCTCTGCTGCTGCTGGCACAGACATTCCAGCACAAGACCTTCAAAAGGACATGCTGGGACTGAAAGCCTCGAGGTGATGCTCCAACAGCAAGAAAGAAGAAAGGAAAGAATAAAATAGCTCAAGACACACCACTCAGTTTCATCTTCAGTGGAAAACCTGAAGCACAGAGGAGCTGCTGGCAACTCACATCTCTGCAGGCACAGAAGTGGGTCTCTGGCTACATAGGTGTGAAGAAAAGGTGAGAGCTGCCAAGAGACAAGAGAGATGGTGAGAGGGAGCACCAGGGCTGTGACAGCCTTGGGTCAAAATGCACTGAGAATGAGCCACATACGTTTGGAGCTCTGCACCCTGGGGCCTGGGATTTCCTCTAAGAGTGCAGAGCTTCTGGAGTGCTTTCCCTTCCTTCCCATCAGGAAAACCCAGCTTCTCTCTCAGTAGACTCAGGAAAAGAAACCACCAGGGCTGTATGTGTTTCCTGAGGCCCACAGTGAACAGAACTTAAGGAGAGGAGCTGAGTGAGAGCTCCTGCCCCTTTCCACACACTGCAGCTTCTGCAAATGCTTCTCTGGGAGTAATTCCGAAATTAGCACCTCAAGTCAACCCTCACAGCCAGGATCTGGTCTGATTTAGCAGGGAATGGAGTCAAGCAACTTCAGAATCCAAAGCCATTGAATTTTGTTTTTCTTAAACAAACACTTTGCAAAGCAAGGGCATTTTCAAATGCCCTTGTTCAGCAAGATAGCCCTGTGTCTTGCACAGAGGAGCTGCAAAGTCCAGCAGGACTCCAGCTGAATTTGTCTAAATGCACATGGAGAACTTTATGCAGTGCTAAAAATGCTATTTTCTGTTTAAAATGCTGCTTTCCAGCCCCAAGATGAGCCTTGCTGCTAAGTCTTATTTCTTGTGTGAAATGGACCTGCTGGAACAGGGTGTTACTCACAAGTGCTCACAGGTCTAAGTGCAAGAAAGGCCAGGATGCCCCAAAGGAGCTTGGATACATGTGGATTCTCTCTCAAAGACAGAAAAATTTAGTTTCCCCTCACTTTGGCAGCAGGAGTGGAAAGCGGCAGGTTGTGATGAGGCTGGGGTGGGGTGTCCCTGTAAGGCAGCAGAACTGGAGCCCCAGCGGTGGCTGCGGACACCCCAGGCCTGCACTGCACAGAAGGTGCTCACAGCACGGCAGGATCCTTTAGCAGGTGCTGGATAGATCTGGCATAACCGGATGAAGAAGGCTTTACCCTTTGTCTTTTAATCACCCAATTGAGGAATCGCATCACCAACACCCAGCGACTGCAGCCCTGACCCCTGGCATCTCCTGCCCAAGTCCTGGAGGGAAAAGACAGCCCAGCTCCCTGGAATTACGGATCATGTGTTTGCACAGGATGCACCCCGTCTGGTCAGTGCCAGGCACCTGTGCAGGATCAGGCCCCTGGGAAGCCCCGCTAGCCACAAGGCCACAGGGACTGCGAGGCAGGAGCTTACCCAGCAGAGCCTGGAAGAGTTCACTTTGGAAGATGTGCGAGACTTTTCCGATGGAGGCTTTTAGCTCCTGCTCCTCCGGGGACCGCAGGGTGCTTTGGTATCTGGTCAGAATTTCCACTGCCCGTTCAGTGTCTGCAGAGACGACACAGGAGAACAAGGCATTAACATCGAAGAATGTTAAAGAAATGCTCAAGCGCAGGCTTGAATAATGCCTCCAGTTGCTGTCCGGTTTGGATTTTTAAGAACCAGACAGCCACAAAAGTAGCCTCCTCACTCACACTTGGAAGAGCTAACCCTGCTGAGAGGCGCAGAGGGCCCACGGTGGAGAACTGGGCAGGGGCTGGAGGGGAGGTGGTTCTGCCAAAAATCCTGAAAATCACGGGCTAAAATCAGATCAGTTCACCTCTGAACCCTGTGGCACCGGCAGCCTGAACACCTCTGCCACCTCCCCGGCAGAGAAGTCATTCAGGAGTTGGACACATCCCGGTTGCACAGGGCTATGAATACTACTGCAGGAGCTGCAGTCTCCCACGTGGGGCCAGATGGCTGCAGCAATGCTGAGTGTAGGCCCATTCACACAGTGCAAACAGCTCAGCTCCATGAGTGGCGAAATTTGGGTTTCTACAGGGTGAAGTGTAAGAATTGCTCAACGCAGCAAGCAGCTGTGGGTCAGCAGGAGACAAGTGGGAAAGGAACACAATGCCTTGGGGGTCAAAGGAGATGCTGGCCAGGAGGGGAGCTGGAGGCTGCCATGAAGCAGTGCTTTGGTTAAAGACTGGGCTCACATAGCTATGAGAGAACCCCGGGACCTGAAATAGTGGAGCTGTGATCTCTGTGCCTGGACACCTCTATGCTTCTGTGGGCAGACAGCCAGAGCTGCCAGGGCAGCCCCAGCCTCAGAGGTGACCCACATCTCAGGCAGGTGGGGAGCTCCTGTGGACCTTGAGACCGTCCCAGCCCTATCAGTGGATGTTTCCCTTTGTCACCCAGGCAGCCTGCAGACAAAGAGCGTCTGTGTGAGGAGGCAGAGAAGCTGTCCCGCCACGGCTGGAGACTCATCTTTTAAGCCAGGAACTCATGCAGAAAGGATGACCCTGCTCATCACAGGGCTCTTGGCAGAGAATTCAGGTCATCAGACAAGGGGGCCTGTGTCTGCTAGGGTGTGTGCCACCTGGTATCCCAGTTCGCCCAGCCTCCCAGCTCCTCCTCGGCCGAAAGGGAAGGGGGGTCCTCCTGCTTGTGTCCCCAGCCCACACTGACTCATCGTGGGAGCAGAACAAGGAAAGGAGCCTGGGGAAGCGTGAATAGCTCCGACTCAGAGCTGAGCTCCACGAAAAGCAGGGACTTCCGTAAGCTTTATGGGGATCCTAGCCCTGTGCTATCACTAAGAGCTTCCTTTTCTGCAAGATAAGACAGTGGCTTCAGACGATGCCCAGCATCCCATGAGCAGGATTGAGACATCTCTGCCTGGTCATTCCTAACCTTATTTGTAGAAGCTAAAGAAACAGATGAAGAACTGGGGCCACCACACCAGGACACAAAGACTGAGAACCTGGTGTGAACTTCCCACCCCGGTCCAGGCTGTGCAGAAAGAGCAGCACGCACCCTGAGCTGCTGGCCACCAGCACTGGGTGACAGCCGGCTAGGGCAGGGGAGCACTGGCTCTGGACAACCAAACCTGGGGAAGTGTTGTGCACATGGCATGGTGGTGAGTCCGGAGGACCCTTCTTACACGCACCCAAGAAAGACCACGTGTTGTCCAGGGCCCATCCCATCATGCCTCAAGGTGCATCCAAGTCCCACTTACAGAAGATCCCTCCTCGCAGGACCCACACGCCCACCCTCCTCCCCACGGCGCCGAGGGGCTGTGCGAGCGCGGCATCCCACGGCCACCCGCTCCGAGCCACGAGGACGCGTCCACAGCCCGAGCAGGGCGTGAAGCGAGGGCGCCCCGTCCTCGGCTCTTAAACCCGTGGCTCGCACGGCCGCCGGAGCGGGGAGCGAGGGCAGGAGCCGCCCGGCAGGGGCGCGGAGCCCCGGGCGCGGTCCCAGCGCCGGTACCGGCGGGGCGGACACTTGTTGAGCGCGGGGGGCGCGGCGGGCAGAGCAGGGCAGGGCCGGGCAGTGCCCTCCTTACCTTCCCGGCGGATCATCGCTCCGCCGTGGCCGACGGGCCGCTCCGCTCGGTGCCAGCCCGAGAGCGGCCGAGCCGCCGCCCGCCCCGCCCCGCCCCGCAGGGACCGGCCGGGAGCCGCCCCCCGCCCGCCGGCACCGCCTCCGGGAGCGCCCCGGCTGAGGGAGCGCCCGCCGCCCCGCCCCGCCTCAGAGCCCGCCGGCCTGCGGGGAGGCTCGGCCGCAGCCCCGGGAGCCCCGCCCGGCTCGGCCTCCCGTCCCTGCCCGCTGCGGAGGGCCCGGCCCGCCGGCCCCGGTTCCCGGTGCGGGCACTAGGTGGCACGGAGGCGCCGCCGAACGCGCCCGCCCCGGGCCGGCACCGTCCGGGCTGCGCCCGCCCCTGCCCCGTGCCCACCACAGCCCTGCGGGGTCTGTCTGCCGCTCCTCTGCTTTATTGACATAAATAGGTAGCAACAAGTAAAACTGACGTGAAAAACTGACATGTTACCACCCCCTACACACACCCCCTCCGCCCCCTTTCCATGTTCAAGGCCCTGCTCCGATGTGTCTGATGCCGAGTCCCCATTGCTCCCCTCTGCACCTTGGAGCCGCAGCAGCAGTATGATCGTGATCCCGTCAGCCCCAAACACCCCCCACTCCCAGCCCTGCTCCTTTTTCCCCCAGAGCAACAGGTATTAACTGCTGCATGGAGTGCCGGGACCCTGACCCGTAAGCATGAAGCCAGCAGGGGCAGGATTTGTGCCCAGCATGGGGGTGCAAAGAGCTCAGCTCCTGCTCTGTCTTGTGAAAAGCCACCCCACACCCCATTCTCTACTCCTCAAGCCAGAGGAACAACATGAAAACCAGGTGTCCTTCAGTGGCTGCAGTGCCACTGCAGTGACGACAGGTAGAGACTGCCCCTGCACCGGTGACCCAAAACCCCACTAGTGTCCAAACCCCAAGGCAGAGGTCTCAGCTCCAACTCTGCTGGATAAGTATTCCACCCTAGGCAATCCCTGCAAAGCTTTAGTTCCTCGCTGCCAATGGGAAATGGGAACCCAGTTCCAAGTCTTTTCAGCTGAGGGCAGCTGTGCACCACGAAAAGAGCCAGGAAGGCTACGGGAGAAGTGAGGCTCAGGAAGGAGCCTGCAAAGGAACGGAGCCTTGAAGCTGGCCTGAGGAGAGCTCCCCGCTTGAGCTGCGCAGGGCTGTGGCTGCCCCTCCCCACGGCTGACGCAGGCAAGAGGGGTCACTCTTGCATCAAGCTGTTGATCTTTGTGAGCAGCACATCCGTCTCAGACTCTGAGGAGAGAGAGAAAAAATAGTCATCGTGGGCAGCCAGCATCCCCTAGCAACAGGCGGAGTGGCTTGAAAAGCAGGTTTGAGGAGACTTGGGGAATGTGGGATTCCCCAGAGTTGTCCCACAGGGCTGTTTGCTAAGGGCAAGGCAGGAACTCCCTGGGCTGGGATTCCCTTCCCTCCCCCAGCCATCCCAAACCACTCTGTCACGTTTGGCTGGAGAAAGCAGCCTTGGCTCCGAGGGAGGGGAGCTCTCATCCCATGCTCACTCACCCGCTGGCCGCCTTCTGTGGGAGCATTTCCTAGGAGATGGAGTAGGATCGATGTTAGCATGCAAGTCTGGCCTCCCGCTTCCCTCCCCTGAGCTTCCCTCCCCTCCGGCTGGAGGCTGTGGGGCCCCACAGTTCCACGAGGGATCTGCTCTCAGTGCATGCAGCACTGGTAAAAAGGTCCAGGGTTCCCCAGCCCCACCCCAACAAGCCCTGGGGTACAGAGTGAGTTAGGATGTGTGAAGTAAGGCATTCAGCAGCTTGAAGCAGGGTCAGGGCAGATTTTTAGCTGCAGCCTGGGGATAAAAGCTGCCTCCACACGCTGCACTGTTTTAGCCAGACAGGAGAGGACCACCCCAGAATCTGAATCCAGAGAGGGGTGGCAGCAGATACAGTCAGGTTTGGATATGTACCAAACCACCAGGGCACACTGTGATGTCCCCCAACAGACCTGCCCCGGGAGGGGGAAAGAGGTCAAACCTACTTCAGCAAGAGGAAGGCCCAGAGGATGGTAAGGAAGGAAACGCAGTCTACAACGATCCAGATCATGAGATACGTGCTGCTGGGCTGCAAGGCAACAAGACAACCCACTGAACACCAGCTAGGGGTGGTGTACTGATGGCACAGCCCAGCCTGCTGTGCCACCAGCCTGTTCTACAGGGTCACCTGCTCCCATGCCAGTCACCTTCCAGGAAGCTGGCTGCACAGGGCTGCTGCAGAAAGGGACCCACAAGTGCCTGGGACACAGGGCTGTGGGGCAGGGTGAAGGATGGAGGGGTTACTTACAAGCAGCCAGATGGGTTGTTTCATTTCCTTCAGCACCTGGCAGGCATTGGTGGTGACAGAGCTCACCCCAGAGCACCAGAGCACAGAGAAGAGCCAGGGCTGGTTCACCACATACAGGTTGACAGAGATGTTGTCCTGGCGGTACTGCCTGCATGGGGACAGCCGTGGTCAGAGGAGCAGACAGCAGGGTGCCATCACACTCCACCTACAGCCAGAGAGGACTGTACATCTGGGATATGATCCAGCATTTTCAGCCACGTGGAGTGACTGTCTGGAGATCCAGATCCCAGGCAGATATGCTGGCAAGGCAGAGGACTGCAGCCAGCTCCATCCCCTGCACCAGCCCAGCCTTGATAAGGCATGCTTGTCCACGAGACACTCACCCAGCCCTTCCTAGCAGCACACTGCCACTCAGCCTCAGCTGGCCCTCATCTCTGCTGGCCCCTGGGACAGAGCTGGGACAGTGCCCAGACCCCCCCATCTCCCAGGCATTTGGGCTTCTCACCTGATCTCCTCAGAGCTCATGTCCTGGTAGGGCAGATTGACATGGAGTAGCGGCTCCTTCTCATTCTGGAGTCTCTTCCGGCCATAGACTTGCTGAACACCCGGGGCTTGCTGTTTGACCTGTTCCCTGAACCCGTCGGGAAGCCAGAGGACCTAGGCAGAGGACAGGTGCTCCAGGGAGTTTGCTCTCTTTCCTTGCAGGTTCAGGCACACATGGCACGCTTAGACAGCTGCTCCCTGACCCCAACCCCGTGCTCAGCTCCTCCATGAGGATCTCAGCCAGGACAGCCTCCTGTGAGCTTGGTTCAGCCAAGAAGAAAGCACAACAGACCCCACTGAGGTGAGAGAGCAGTCCCAGCCTAAGAAAGCTGCAGCAGTTATGTCCTTTCTGGGTCCTTGAGTGGATCGTGCAGTGCACCCCTTTCGGCCCCAACTCTGCATCAAGAATGCACCTTGGATCAGCACTATAGCAGAAGTCTTTGCTATGTCCCCTCCTGCTCTACATACCCAAAAAGCCAAGGAAGGGAGGCAATTTGAGTGCTAATTTATCCCCTAAGGGCAGCATATATTCTGTGCTGCAGAGGTTGGATGAAACATAAAGGAAACACAGGAGGTTGCAGCAGAAGTCCAAGAGCTGCAGGGAGAGGTGTGGTGCAGTGGGGGGAGGTGGAAGCCTCAGCATTGTACTCCTGCTCACACTGGCAGTGTTTGTCCCCTCCCTAGACTGAGTCATTGTTTACACACCAAGGTGGCCAGTGCTGAGAAACCAAAGTATTTGGAGGGGTCTGAAGCTATAGGCATTAAACCCTAATTACTGGCAACTTCTCCCAGCTAGAGAACCCCACACCCAGACAGGGCTGCCCAGCAGGGATCACCTATGGGGATGTGGTGTACGGGGTGTCAGGGATGCTCAGCGAGGCTGGCACGGCACCTCCCACCATGGCAGGGGTGTGACAGCAGGGCCTGGCAGCAGTGGGGCGGTGACCAGCTCACCTGCTGTAGTGGGATGCCGGACTGTAAGATCACTGCCAGGGTGGCATTGACAAAGCTCTGGTAGTCACTGTGGTTCTCAGGCCGGAGGTCGAACATGATGGAGATATTGCTCTGCTTGGCTGCCTCGAGGGCCTGTCCCAGGGAGGGGATCCTCTGTTTAGTTGCCTGGTGGCGATCACCAGCAGAAAGACTCGGCACGGTGGGAAACGGACTCCGCTGCAAGGATGAGAGAGGGTGAGGCATCAAAGGCAGAGCCCCTGTAAGCTCTCACCTCCCAGACTGGTGCCCATCTATCGCTCTCAGTTTCCTACACTGGCCTCTCCGCGCGCTCTCCAGTGCAGACAGGCACAGGGATCCTTCCTATACACACCCATGTGGTATCTCTACCCTTCTCCCCTCTAATAGCACAGTTCAAGCAGGCCCAGCACCTGTGGGCATTCAAAGCAGCTCAGCAGTAGTTAGTCACCTTTTGGGAAGAGCCTTGCCACAGCTGCCTTCAAGCCCAGGCAGGCTGTGCAGCTCAGAGCAAACACAAGACATCTCCCCTCAAACCAGCCTCCTCTGTGACTCAGCTGAGGAGTCAGAACAAACCCCAGCTTGGGGCATAACCGCACCCAAGGGATTTGTGCAGGCTTCTGCACCCTGTTCAGGTGTCTGCCAGGACCAGTGCTCCAGAGGGAAGGTTCTGGAGCCCCAGGGCAGGGCTAATGCTTCGCCCACAAATGCACCCATCCCTGACCAGCCACCTGTAGGGCATCCTGACCTCCAGAAACCAGCTGCCAGCATCCAACTGCTGGAGGTCCGTCCAGTTGAAGGCAGTGCTGTTCAGGGCAGCCCTCTCAGGGAACACAACCTGCACATTGGTGGTCCTGGTGAGTTCCTCGTCATGCATGAGGAATGGGACTCCATCAGCACTGGCAAAGGAGCAGAGAAGGAAGCTGTTTTTTTTTAATGGGGGCTGTTTGTCTCCTATCCCTGCCCTGGCATTTCTGCCCCCTCCCAGCCACCTGCTAGCGTAGCCTCCAGCATTATTCTATATGTCCTTTACACAAAAATGTGAGCACCCAGAAAGCACAGAACACCTAGAGACCAAGCCAGGAACCAAGCAGTTCCCTGCTCTCTGCAACAGCTGTCTCCACAGCAGGATTACATGAGATGAACTAGAGCCAGGCTCTGTTTTCCAAGCAGTACCCCTCCCGTGATGGAGCCTCCCTCCCTGGAAGGCAATCTGCATCAGGACAGAAACCCAGAACCTCTCCCAGATCATTGGGACACCAAGTTGGAGCCAGTCCCATAGTGGGGGGGTGGGAGCGGCAGAGCCCTTTGAACAGGGCTCCCTCCAAATGCAGGCTGTATCAGCCCTCCAGGTGTGTTCCAGAATGCCCCATGTGGGCATATCCATCCCAGGACACACAGGCCCCTTCCTCCCTCTGAGCCCCTTTACCTCACCATGACGTCTGTCTCAAAGACTTGCACATCACAGTCCACCGCCTTGTGCAGTGACATGAGGGTGTTCTCGGGGGCCAGCTGGAAAAAGGAACGGTGTTAATGCAGAGGGCATGGGCAGGATGGGGCAGGAGGCAGGCACTCACCCTGCCTGGCTGCACCCAGCAGCTTGGCTTGGCTTGGCTCTAGGGCAACCACAATGAGACTGGAGTGATCCTGGCACAGTGGGGGATGGAAAAGGAGTGGGGACAGACAGCCAGAGCCTGCCTCATCCCTGCTTCCCAGCCCACACTACATAGTCAGGCTTTCTGCTGAGAGCTGCATCTCCTGGTCCAGCAATGCTGAGGAGGCAACCCCCCTCCTCACCCTGAGCTCACCCGTCCTCCAAGCCTGACCTGCCCTGGCTGCTGTGGGGACCCTGCTCTGCTGGGCTGGCCAGAGCTCATCCGGGCCTGTGGCAGCAAGGATCCGGTGCCCCATGGCCAGGCTGTCACCGGAGCAGCCTGTCCCATCCACCCTGACCACTGCCAGGGTGCTGCTGGTCACTCACCATGGGTGCTCCTCGATGGCCAACCAGGGCTGGCTTGGGGGGCAGCTGGTTCTCCTCCATGAGACAAGGGGAGGTGATTCCCAGGGGAGCCAGATACAGCGCAATCATCACTGTGCAGTACAGAAGCAGCAGAAACACCTTGAGACCTGCAGGCAGAGGCAGAAGATAGAGGGAGGGGTGAGGTACAGAGGAAGTATTTTGCAGGCCGTTGGGAATAATCCAAGGCTGCTTCACCTGGCATTAACCTGTGGTTGCCCTCAGTCAAGCACTGTATTCCCAGCCACAGGAACACTGCAGGTTTATTCCTGGCCCACTACATGTCTTTGCATCCCAACCCAGCACTTCTGGGTCTGCCACCCGTACTCTTCTCCAGCTGCAAAGCAGCGAGGGCTGAAGCTGCACCAAGGGCTGGGCACGAGAAGAAGCAACCAAGAGCAGGTATGACCACCAGACTGAGAACTGCAGGCCTGATCCCATTGCACCAATGCTCTCTGAGCACCACTCTGCCAACTGTGCTGCTCAGCTGGGTGTTTGGCAGTGGGGCACCAGCTGAGGGGGAGTGTGGAGACCCTGGAGGGGGTTACCTGTACTGCGGGTGCGGTACACAAAGCTGGCCAGGGGCCAGGCAAGGAGCGTCATTCCCCCCACGACTCCAATGTGCAGGAAGGGACCTGTTGCCTGGGGAGACAAAGGCAGAGTGTCAGTCAGGACCAGACCAGCCCCTGTCCCCAAAATACACATGGCTCCAATGCCAGGGATCTGCCACTGCAGCCAATACTGCTGGAAATGCCAGGGAGGGAAGGACAGGCTCCTGGGTGGACTGCACAGACCCCTGCTCTGCTCCAGCCACCACTTATCATCCTGATGGGCAGCTGCCCCAGGCACGACTGCAAGAGCAGGAGCAGCTCTTAGCCTGGCCAGGCAGCAGAAGTCAAGGGCAGGAAGTTAACCCCCATTGCTCAGAGCCATGCTGGGGGGTTCAGTAACCACCCTTCAGCTCATCCCCCCAGGCCAGGTACTTGGTACAGTGGGGGAGTCTCTGGCATCGAGGTGACTCACCTGCAGGGAGATACGTGCACTTCTCCACTCCTCCGCCCACTTTATTCCCAGCCCTGTGAAGGCTGCAGCCACCACCAGGGCAGTTAGGATCAGCAGGATCTGTGGGGCAGTGCACAGGGCAGTTAGGGGAGCACAAGCATCCTGCAGGACAGTTGCAGTGCAGGCAGAGCCCTCCTCATCCCTTCTTCATCAGCCCCTAGTCCTGAGACCCCACTTCCTCCATCTGGGTTTGCAGCTGAGCTCTGCACTCCATGCTTTGAGCAATGGGAATATTCCCATCCCAGAGACATGTGGCTGAGGAACTAACAGCTGCAGCTCAGCTCAGCGGGGACATGCAGCCACTCAGTGGGGTCACAGCAGCCATACACAGCCTCAGCAGGCTGCTCACAGCTTCTGAAGGTGCATGGGCAGCCAGGGCAGGCACATCTCCCTCCTGCCCCAGTCTCTCACCTTGTGCAGCCAGTGTAGCTTCAAGGGCTGGCCACAGAGCTGCAAGCACAAAGCAAGGACCTGCGAGAACAAGAGATGTCAGAGCTGGGCTCTACCCCACACCTCAGCCCTCTAAGGGCACAGGACTCAGCCACAGGAGCTGTGTTCCCCTGGCACAGGCAGGGTCTCTGGCTGTGCTCAGGTGACCCAGCTCCAGATGCTGTGGGCTCCTCGTGGCCCCACACAGGGCACGGTATCCAGGCTGTGCTCAGCACACATCCATACCCCCACCAGCACAGGGGGGACCAGCAGGGCTCACCAGCAGCACAGATGAGTAGGTGATCAGCACAGCCGTAGCTATGAGCAGGACCAGGGACCAGTCGAGCCACAACTTCCTCTGCTTGAAGATGAACCTGCCAGCAAAGGGGACGGTCAGAGGGGCAGGGGTGACATGGGGAACAAGGCTGGACGTGGGGTCCTACTCACTCGTTGAAGTTGTGGAAATCATTGAGGATGATGATAGCGAAGTAGAGCCACACCAGTGTGAAGAGGAAGACGCAGAAGAGGAAAAGGAACCAGCTGCAGTCACACTGAAAGCCAGAAATGACAGCTATACACACACCTGAAGAGCACCTGCCCCTGGTCAGGCTGCTGAGACCCCTGGGGAGAACCCAGCCAGCGGCAGGGAGCACAAGGGGTCACAGCAGGCACTGGCCCAGGACACTGCCCCATGGACAGGGACCAGAGCTCCCCAGGAGAGCTCTTTTGGCTGGTCCCATGCTACAGGAAGATGGACCAGTATCTCTTAAAAGAAGCTTTAAAGCTGCCTATGCCATGCTGAGGAGGACGGCTCCTGCGGCAAGACTGCCTCCTTTCCCATGCAGCATTCATTCCCTGGGGGCAGTCTGGGACTTTGGATATGGGAAGGGGCAGGGAGCCAGGTCCCATTCCCTTCTAGCTGGATGATCTGTGGGCTGGGCAGAGAGGGGTGCAGAGCCTCAGAGCTGCCGTGGTGAACTTGCAGACCGCTCCTGCCTGCGTGGCTGAAGCCAGGCCCAGCTCCGTGGTCTCCAGCCCCTAGCCCCACGTGTGCAGGGAAGTGAGGGGTGCCACAGGTGCTGAGAGGGACACCTGACAGCCCAGACCTGTTTGTACATTCCAGGCAAGACAGGACACGCAGCAGCACAGCCACTCCCATGGGAGTCGGAGACCTCAGAGAATCCCAGGGCCTCGCCACTCCCAGGTTACAAATTGGTGGGGACACCCTCCTGGTGGGGGCCATACCCAGCCCAGGAACTGTGTCTCCCACGTGCCTGGCCAGGCGCCCCAGGACCTGCTGCCACACTCAGCCCTAGGGCTCTGCTCTGCTCCAGGCACGTGTGAGCCCTGCCACAGGTGCACACTCTGCTGCTCTGCCCCTCTTGTCACCCAGTGGGAACACACAGCTCACCCTCTAGCTTTCTCACTGCTCCAGGCCAGGGCACTCCCTGGACAGAGAGGGTGCCAGGTAGCACCCCAGCTCTCTCAGGCTCAGCCCTGGGAAGCAGGAGCAGTGGCAAGAGGTCAGCAGGGCAGTGTTTGGGCTGAGCATCCCAGCCAGTGCTCTTCCGCACCCCCGGCCACCGCTCTGAGCCTCCCCCACAGGGACTGGCTAATCCCAGCTCAGCATCACCTTGGTGGTTCTCAGGCCCTTCCTCTTCTCCTTCTTGGCAGTGATCCACCGGCAGCTGTAGGGGCAGAGCAGGCAGGTGGCACAGGCAGCACAGCAGGCAGGGGGGTCTGCCATAGCATCCGACTGTCCCACAGCAACGGTCAGGTGTCCTGTGGGAGATAAACATGGTGTGTTGGCACTGACCTCCCAGCACACCCCCCCGTGGGGATGGGGCCCTGAAGCATTCTGGCTCCAGGTACCCTGGCAAGTGGTCCAGAGCCCCGGGGTACAGTGGGGCTGCTGGTTGTGTTCCCAGGCAAGGCATGGTGCCAGGGAAAGGAGAAGCACAGGGTGCAGCCCAACCAGTTCAGCAGGCTGCACTGGGACCCTTCACTCAGCAAGTTAAAGCAAGCCTGGAGATGGCAGGGAGCAGAGCCTGCTCGCCAGCCCAGGGTTCAGAACTCCTCCTGGGAGCCAGGATCACTGTGCAGGCTCCAGGGGCAGTCAGCCTTGCCAGCTGGACAGAACTTTGCACCCAGACCCCCCAGCTGCAAGGACCATGCATGCCACAGCCTGGGGCTTCTGCTGTGCAGCTGAGGGTACACGTGCAACAGCCTGGAAGTTCCTGTTCTGCTCCCTAAGCCCAGGTCCTTGCTGATACAGCACCATCCTGGCAGCCCTCTAGCTCAGCTTGCACAGCAAGGAGACCTCTCGGGCTGGAGGAGCTGTAGCTGAGCAGGCACTGGTTGGTTGTTGGTCCAAGCACTACGGGGGATGATGTGGGTGAGCATCAGTTATGGGGGGAACCCATTTCTACAGTCACAGAGACCCAGAATGAATGTGGGGCCACTACTGAGTCCTCCAAACACTGGGAAGGGGAGAGGGCCAGGATGCTTTGCTGTGATCCCCAGATTCCTGGTGCCTAGCCCCAAATGAGGTCTCCCTGTATCTGCCCTGAGAAACCCCATGTCTATTATTGCTTGCCCTGCTGTGGAGCTGCTCCTCCTCCTCATCTCAACCTCCCCAGCAGGCCAGGCACCCTATACAACACTATCACCCTGTGGATTAAACCAGACTCTCATTTTGCTGTGACTACTGAGCCAGGCATGAGATCCCGCTGACCACATCCTCCCAGCCACATCCTCTCCACTGGTGGGGGCAATGGTGTGCCCAGTAGAGCCGTGTCCCATTCCAGTCTGGGCTGTGGAGAGAGGGAGCAGAGCTAGCCCAGGTTCTCCCAGGCCCAGCCAGCCAGACCAGAGTGTCTCTGCCATGCCCTGGTCTCCCCCTGTAACAGGGCAGCACCCCAGACTGTCCCCTTGCTCCCAAAGACCACCATTACGTGCATCTCCAGAGTCTTCCTCAGGACCCACCCAGACCAGTGGCTGCTGGGGCACACACAGGCAGGTACCAACCCGAGAGCAGGACCCCCAACCTGCCCAGTCAGCTTCTGCAGGTGGGGGAAGTCGGGGCACTGCCATCAGCTGGTCCAGCCAGCCAAGGCACAGAGGATGCTGAGCAGCACAGTAGTGCCCCACGTCCACTACCCCTCTACCTGCTAGGGACCAGATCAGCAGCCCCTTCTTGATGCCCAGGAGCTCTGGCTGAAGGCTCATACCCTTGCTGTCACCAGAAGCGGAGCCATCACTTCCATCAGGGAGCAGTGGGCTCAGCCAGCCTCTGCTGGGACTCACCCTTGTTCCCTGTCACGGGTCACACCAGCCAAGTAGCAGTGCCAGCAGCTGATGGCTGGCACCCACACAGGGTACAAAGTACAGTAGGAGTGGCTGTGGGCACCAGCTGTATTTCAACGCTCAGCTGCTCCAAGGGACTGTCACTGCCAGGACTGGAGCCTGGCAGAGCAGTGGCACAGGACTGGCCACAAATCCACTCCAAGGGTGCTGCTTGGAGGGAAAATGCCACCTTCTTCCAGAGCTCCAAGTGGGACTGCAGCAGTGGCATCAGCAGTTATGGTGTGACACCCCTGCACAAGGTCCCAGACAGAGCTGGGCTGGGTGCTCAGCAGACCCTGCTCAGCTTCTGCTCCAGCTGCTACGGGAGAGAAGCAGACTGGGAGCCAGGGGTACACCAGTACTGAAAGGACCTCTCCTTTAGCTCCCACCAAACAACGCCCACAGCACACCCACAGCCTGTGGGAAGCACAGGGGACTTGAAATAGTGACAAACTCGTTGCTACAGTGATCGACATGGCAGAACGTGCCTGCAGCCCTGTAAGGACCTCAGTGCCCCAGAGGTGCTGACACAGGACAACCAGGTGGCCACGTGCAGGACAAGATCCCCTTGCCCTGGTGCATCCGAGCCGGCCCAGGCCGTGTGCCACCGGGCAGGTCAGTAGGAGCTGATGCCGAGCCTCGCTGTCCCCCTTCTTCACAGGAGGGAAGGAAGAGCATGGGCTCAGCATGAGGAACAGGGTGACCCCAAAACAGCAAAAGCAGCACAGCCTGGTCCAGAGCCCCCACTCCCAGCCTCATGCCCGAGCAGTCAGCCCTGGGCTCCCCATTCCCGCTCTCCAGAGCGTGGGAACAGCACGGGCAACCCCTTTACTTCCCCCGCTCCCATTCAGGCACGGGCAGGACGATCACCACCCCCTCCCCGTGCCGCTCTGCCAGCTCTCCCGCAGCAGTGCGGGACAGCATCCCCACGGCCGGGGCCGCCACCCCGGGGCCAAATACCTGCTCCCCGCCGACGTCGGGCTCCCGCAGCTGGGCCTCCGGCGGGCCAGGTGAGCGCGGGGCTGGGCTCTGCCGGGGCCCATGCGTGGCAGCGCCCCGCTCCCGCTGAGCTCACACCCTCGTGGGTGTGCCCGTGGCCCGGCGGGGCGGCCGCGGCAGGTCCGCACAGGCCGGCAGAGGCGGGCAGACTGCGAGCCGAGTCGAGCCGAGCGGGGGGCCGGGCTGGGGTCAGGGCGGGCCCCGCCGGCCCCGAGGAGAGAGGGGGAAGGGGCCCGGGGGCCGTCACGCGTCGCGGCGCAGAGGAGTTTGCAGGCAGCCCACGTCCAGGCAGACGGAGGCTCCGGGGAGAGCGCCCGGGAGATGCCGATGGAGGCAGAGCTTCGTGCACGGCCGCGCTCTCGAGCGAGGGGGCTGTGGGAGACCCTCTCCCTTCCTGGCAGAGGAAGCCCGGGACAGACGCATCCCTGGCCAACACAGTGGACATTCAACAGGGCATGCTTTAAAGACAGAAGTAAAAGTGGTTTCTTGCCTTAAGCCAAGAAAAATGCTTCAGAACCAACACATCCAAACTTTGCTAAAGCAGCAGATTGGCAGGAGGCTCCAAGACAGACCTGATGTCACCTGCAGATGGATGGGCTGATGCCTTTCATCTCCCCACTCCCTCCCTGTGGCATAGTACAGCTGTGTCCCCCCCTACCCTCCGCTCCAGGTCTCAGCAGAGGCACAGCCCCCAGTGAGCCAGAATGGACCACGGGCACTCAGATCATTCTGTATCACTGACCTGATCCAGCATTGCCTGGGATCTCAGGGGACCCATGTGATTTGCCACTTGCAAAGGAGCTGAGAAAGCTGATTTACAGGGAGGTGGTGGCATCCTGCAGTGATATAGAAACTGGCAATTTAGGCAGAAGCCTCAGCGCTCAGCCCCCAGCTGATCCTGTTCCACACTACTATTAACGGCTTTGGCACAACTGATTGAACAGCTCTATGAAATGTGCTGATTAAGGCCTTATCATTGGAGGTCTGGAGCACTGCAAGAGAGGTTGTGCTGTAACACCCATTGCTCTGCACCCAAAGGAGTAAGCTGAAAGCACTGCAATTGCCAGGAACATCCCTCAGGCAAGCAAGCAGCCCTGACTCCAGAGTTTGTGAGCTGTGAGCAGGTAGCACTGAGGTTCACGTCCTGCATCCGCGTGCTGTGCCAGCTCTGACAGACCAGCTGCACAGCAGAGCAAACCTGTGGGCATGAGTCTTCCCGGTGGACCTGCGCCCCTGGAGAGCCCAGTTTATGGAACTGGAGATCCACTCTTAGGGAATTGGGTTGCAGGTTATAAGGAGATGAAGAAGGGAGCACTGAGGGGAGGATGAAGGACCCCCTTAAGCCAAGAAACATCTTAGGCGGCGGGGAGGGGAAACCCAAGCACGAATAAAGAGACCGCGGTGATACTGGAGAAGGGGAGGTTGCAGCAGAGCTCCAAAAAAAAAAGCTATGGATTTCAGGCGTGCGAGGCAAAAATTCACGAGGGAGGCTCCACTCAACCACGCACAGATGGAGCAGGGGGACTGGCGGGGATCTCCCCGGGTGCTGGTCACCGTCTGACCGCCCCGGGCAGGAGCCGCGGGGGGAGCCCCATCCCGGGGGCTGCAGCGGCCACCTCTGCCCACCAGGGCGCGGCAGCGTCGCCGCTGTGGGCTCGGGGTCGGGCGGTGCGGTCCGGAACGGGCTGTACAGAGAAGGGGAGCGACGGCAGGGCCGCTATTCTGGTTTTTTACCCCCGGCAGGAGGGAGCCCTGTGGAGGAGGATGAGGATGGGGGGGCCGCGCTGGGGACGGGCACGGGGGGGAGAGGGCGCGGCAGTGCCGGGGCGTGGCCGCCAGGGGGCGCCCTCGGCCCGCGCTCCCGCGGGAGCGCATCGAGGTCAGAGCCGAGTTTGGGGTGAGAATAAAGGACGGAGCCGAGTTTGGGGTGAGAATAAAGGACAGAGCCGAGTTTGGGGTGAGACTCAAGGACGCAGCCGAGCTTAGGGAGGCCACACTGAGCCCATCACACTACCACAAACAGGGTCGTCCCAGGCATGCACTCCCCTGCCCGCTCAGACACTTGTCTGATCGCCGGGAGCCAAACCACAGGTGAGCAGTTAAAGCAGCCCACCAGAGCGTGTCATCGAGCTGGCTTGGCTCTAGCACAAACTCAGAAGCGCCTGAGTTAGTCGGGAAGAAGACAAAATAGTTCCTGTGAAGACGGTTGAGTGAGCTCATGCAGTTGGATAAGCTCATGCACAGCATCAAGTGTTGTGTTGCTCTAAGTGTGGTTTGTGTCCTGCCTTCACTTGTGAAGTCTCATCTTTGAATGTTCTTTTAAATTACAATAAAGCCGTGGAAACAAGCACGGAGAGGAAAGTGAGCAGGCAAAGTTTTGTTGGTATATTACAGTTCAGCTGA